CCTCCCCCCTTTTCTGGACCACCGATCGGTCCTGAATAAAGGAACCTCCTTTCTCTGTCTTGCCCCAGGCGCTCCTCCTACAGTGCGAGAAAGACGACGAATCTCGTAGGTTTCCGAACGCGCATTCTCATCCCCGGTATAAATTATGCCTCCTCCCTACCAAGGAGCACCATTCGACTGCAGATCGTCCCCCACACCACCCACTACAACATGCTCTTCGTGGTGAGTACCTCGGCCGGTAGTGTGAGCAAATCGTCCCTGCTGCCCGTCGGCTGACCGGGCCATCCTTGTCCGCTCTGTGCCCGCAGCGCTCACCGCTGGCCGCCGCCCTGGGCGCGCTGCTGCTCGTCGCCGTGCTGCTCCCGGAGTGCCTCGCCCAGTACTACGACCCGTACTACGGCCCCGGCTACTACCACCGCCGCTCCTACCACTACTACGGCGGCGGCTACCCCGTCGTCGGCGCCGGTGTTGGCTTCCACGTCGGCGTGGGTGCCGGCTACGGTGGGGGTTACGGCGGGTACGGTGGTGGTTACTACCGCCGTTGAGAGGCTCAATTCGCTTAACTATCTGTGCTGGTGTCCGCGCGTTGATGTACACCGGGCAGAAACTACGAAGTTCGCAGGCTTTCTTTCAAGCGGATTCTAACAGAATCTGCCCATTTAATGAGGCGCTTTAGTGCAATAAGGTCCCACTAAGGGGTCTTGGGCCAAGGCTTAGCTCTCCCCTTACCCCTCGCTCTCTGGATCCGCGTGCCCGTGCGTATATCCGGCAGAGGGCAGTCCCAGGAGGCAGATATCTTCAAATTTTATTTGGTAGATTGTTAATAAGTGTAAGGAGTGCGGTAGAATGCAGACATGTCTATACCTCTGTATTACACTCGAGTTGTACGAAATAAAAGAGAAAACGGATGTATCTCTGCCTTTATAAAATAATTACCATCTACATTCGCCATTCATTCGCACGCTTTTATTTTCCGACAACACGCTCAGTCATTCCCTCGTGTCACGAACTGCGGTTTTGACTTTGGGTTTTACCCGACGAGAGCAAAGAACAAAAGAAAAAGAATCACTCATCAGAGGTGGGTACCACGCCCCCTTCGAATATATCCTACGAGCATGCCTCCTCCGCATCCGTCGCAGGTCGCAGTACCGCGCTTTAAAAACATCGGCTTCCCGAGGAACCAGTTCCAGTTGGCTCTGTATACCGTCAGAGGCACCCGCACACGAATGTCTTCCCCAGCCGCCGCTCTTCGCGCCCTGGTGAGTGTCGCCATCAAGGTCTCTGCATAGTGCTCCTGTAACTCGTTACAAGCCAGCCCTTCTCCCCCAGGTGGTGCTGTGCGGAGCCCTGCTCGTCGCGCTGCCGCCGCCGCCGGCAGCCGCCTACCCGCGCCCCTTCCCGCACCCGCACCCCCATCCCCGGGCCTTCCCCATGGCGATGCCCAGCTACGACCCCTACTGCCCGTACCCGGAGGGCGGTGGCGACGGGTACGACTACGCCTACGGCGCTGAGGACGGCAACGGGCTGTACGGCTCCGGCGATGCGGGCTACGCGCAAGGCTACAACGCCTACTCCAGCTACAGCGGCTACGGCGCCGGCTCCATGGGCGGCTATGGGGGTGGCTACGCGCACCCTTCCGGCATGAGCGCGTCGTCCTTTGGAGTCGGCTTCGGCAGGTAGATTGGTCTGCGGTTCGACGTGGGGTACAGAAAACGTCCTAAGGCGAGACTACTTTATCATCTACTATTTCTCGAGCAGGGCGGGGCGAAGAAGGGAG